TCTTCCTTATACTGTAAAGTGCTGCACAAACTGTTGGTGCTATATAAATCCTGTATTATAATAATAATAATGACAGAATTCGGACCTTTCCCCTCTACAAAAAAAAAAAGTTTGTATTGCTGTATAGAGAGATATACTCTCACTTCCTGCTTTGAGGAGGACCATCGCTGGAACAAGAAGTAAGGGAAATCCTTTCCAAGAGGGGGACACACCACAATAAAAGAAAGTGACAGAGGTTTTGGCCTTGATCCACTTGTCCAAAACAACAGCCAAAAAAGTTTGAGCACAAGTTCGATTTTAATGATGACATGATGTCATAGAGGTTTGTTTCACAGGGACCAAAGGTATTAAGACTCCATTCACATATAGCGTTTGCGTTTTCCGTGTGGAAGACCACATGGCATGAAAACGCACAATCTTTACATATGCACGTTTGCAGCTATTACAATAGCCATGAACGTGCGGAATCTGCCCCTGAAATCTCGCTTGGACTTTAAGGGAATTTACGGGACGCGCAGTTTTGTACCGCGAGATCCCTGCAATAGTCTGAACAATGCACATTAACATGCATCGTTTTTTATGTTTAGAGCGGTGCAGGCGCGGACAACCCCTCCTGTGTAAATGGAGCCTTAGATAAGCCTCTCCAGAAAAGTATTTTAAAGGAATCTAAACTGTCTTGAGCTGATAATGTCTGAAATCACCAATGTTTATTTTGATACAAATGTTTTATTTACAGTACGGGATTAAGGCTAGCTAATTCTAAATCCCGAGAGCTCATCTTTGACTTGATGACTGGAACTGAGTGCAGGCAACTATATCACAATTTTACTGTCCGTGAGAAACTTCTAAGAGAACATTCCTTACCAGCACAGTCCATACTTCCCACGTGTGTTGAAAGAATTCCTCAAGTACTACCTATGTGTGTTATGCAACTTTAAAGAGAACCAGTCATCTTCTCACAAACCACAAGCATGCACCACTTCTAGCATGGCCAGGACTTTCAACATCCCTTCTGGGCAAATGTTGGCAAATATTTTTTTTGCTGTTTGCTTGGGATAGAACATTCAAGCTCACATCTTTTTATCCTGTTTGTGCTTTATTTACTGTACATTGTTCATTTTTACTGGTAAATTGCATTTGTTTTGGATGAGGAACGGTTAGGACCTCTGCAAAGTTCTCTTTGTTATTTTTGTCCTCTTTGGTCATTATTATTATTATACAGGATTTATATCAGAAGTGGGGCAATGAAAACAGTTCATCTAGTCTATCAAGAGCAAACATACGTTTGTTATATTCCTTCTGGCACCTGTTTGATGTTTCCAAACTTTGCTTGCTGTTGTGGATGGTTTATATACAGAGGGCACCCCTTTCTGTACCATTGCATGACCCAGGTAATGCATGTTGTGCTCAAAATGGTTTCGCAGCTTGCAAATGTTAGGTCATGTAGGGTCCCTGTGAATCTGGCTGTAGATCTACATGTTTCATGTCTTGGTTGCTTGTCCCATAAATATGCACGTTCAGCTGAATGTACCTATTAATGCCTGTTGAGCAGAGACGTGTGGCCTGGTGCGGGTTTTACTGCTAAGGATTTTGTTTGCAATGTGTTTAAAGTGTATATAAACGTTAATAATGAGCTTCTCATTTTTGCTCCCTTTTGGTCTTCTAAATATGCCATTTAAAGCATTTCTTGCAACAAGATGCCTGTTGATCTTGTTAAAATTCAGATCTGTCCTGTGTCTGTGTTCCCTGTCTGTGTTATCTCAAAGAGACTTTTAACCCTCCTTTGGAATGCAAATCAATTAGTCCCTATGTGGTGGATAAGAAGACAGTGGGGAGTGGTTGAGTAGTTTCGCAAAAGACAAAGGGTAGGGCTGTCACCACTCCACAAAAATGCTGTGTGTTGTCAGCCCACAATTGGAAATGAAGAGCTGAGTGCTTTTCTGGCAGATCAACAAGTATATTTCTATACTTTCAGGGTCTTCAAATGGGAAATGTGTATGTATTGCAGTGATGTACATGTGTAGTTTTTTTTTCCTTGACATACACTTTAATCACATTTGTTGCTCATGTATCCAAACATTAAACCCATGCAACTCGCCCCTCCTCTATCATGAATGGTAATTCACTATCTGTATATACAACACAGGCCTGAGCATTGCATTACTTTGCTCTCCTCCATCTTGTCTGCCCTGCCTGATGAATGTGCGGTTGATATACAGCATGTGGCAAAGGCTGGTGTCTGAAGTACTGGACACTTTTATGGTTTTATAGTGTTTGGATAAAGACAACAGGACACCAATAAATTCCTGAGGATTCTGTTTCCTTGAAAAAAAACAAACTCATTTATTCAAAACAAAACAAGACAGAGGAATGAATGTTTAGTGCTTGCAGCATGGCCAATTACACAGGCTCTCTCTGTGTGTGTCATTTCTTAAGAAAATACAAACTACAACCAGGAACTATTAACATGGAGCTTGTTTGCTTTGTGTATTTGGATAGGACATAGAAATAGCTATTTATATCAGTCTGAGGACATGTTGTATTTTATAATGTGTAGGTATGGGAATCATTATCTGAAAGCTCATTATTCAGAAAGTTTTGAAATGAAAGAGATAGAACCATAAATCCAGAAATAACTGTAGCTTTTGTGGTACAGTCATCCAACCATATTGTGCAATCATTTTCTTCTTAAAGTGGACACAATGTAATCTCTCCCCTGACTGGAGTGCCCTGCTACTTTTCATTCATAAATGCTAAGATGTACCAATTTATTATTTTAAAAATAAAAAAATGAGCTCCCAACTGTGCCAATGCATTGGTCATGTGATTTGTGGTGGAGGGGTGGACCTGGCAAAGATTTATATATTTAAATTACATTATTTATATAACGGCAACAGATTATGCAGGAAACCCACACAAGCACAGGGAGAACATGCAAACTTTGTGCAGATAGTGTCCTGACAGCGATATGAACTGGGGACCCTCAGTGCTGCAAGGCAGAAGAGCTAACCACTAAGATTTAGATTTAGGCTTGGCAAGTTGAAACCTTCAGTGGAGAGCTGGATTATCCAAGGGGCAAATGAGGCAGTAATTTAGTGCATGTCCAGGGAGCTTAGCTACATCCTTCATTCTTCTGCAGTAAACAGGAAGTGCAATTGGTCAAAGCTGTGCGCCTGACTGATACTTATGGGAGTATACATGTGTACGCAGTTAGTGTCTGTTGGGGCAGGCCATACCAGTACAGAAGATTCACATGGGACTGCCCCTCTGTGCATGTCGCAGTCCTTATCAATGTCAGTCAAAGAGATGGGGGCCCAAAGATGCTACCATGCTTAGGGCCACATTCTGCCTTAAAGGAGAACTATGGGGTCAGTGTTTTTCCCCATAGTTCTCCTTAGGGTAACGGGAGGACACAAACTAGCATCCTCCCGTTACCCTAAGCTCAGTATACCGCGAGCTACAGCTCGCGGTATACTGAGACGCCGCAGCCGGAGCGGATCACGTCTTAGATGACGGAATCCGCCCAGCTGCGTGAGTGACAGCTGGCTCTGCCTATCTAGAGGCAGAGCCAGCTGTACCCTCCCCCGTCCGTTCCGCCAGTCAGCGCTGGCAGATCGGAGCGGGGAGGGGGGAATCCAGCCCCTCCCTTGTCACGGCAGAGAGCCGTGACAGGATCGAGAGGCGAGCGAACCCGGTATGTGTTCGCTCACTTCCCGATCTACTGAGCCGACCTGTGACAGTCTCATTGTCACAGGTCGGCTAGAACTATGAGGTGAGTGAAAAGCACTCACCTCATAGTTCTCCTTTAACGGGACCCTTTCACCAACTTAAAAAATTGCAGATACAAACACATAAAAAAAATCAGGTTTATGAAATCCTTACTTGCAGTGTTTTTCCTTTCGATAATTAATGTTGTATTCATTGCAATGTGCCTTTGAACTTTCTAATGAATTTGACAAATCCAGAAAGAGTCGATTCTCTAGCACAGCCCCCACCTGCCCTGCATATCATAGCCCTCCCCTCTTCGCACAGTGTCTAATTACTGTCAGTGCTAGCCAAGCTCCTCAACCCCTCCCCTGGAGCGAAACAAAATACTATAACGTGTCACTTGAGAGACAGCTGTGAGCCTGCTGGGGCTGCTGACTTCAGATCCAAGATGGCGGTGCCCAGCAGCAGTGTTAGGTCTTTCGTAGGTCTGCACATGGAGGCTTTTCAAGGTGAATAGCATAAAATACATTAAATGCACATATAATCTTATGGAAAGATTGTTGTTGACGTGATTGGTCTGGCAACAGGGTCTCTAATCTGCCTTTGCTTTGGGATGATTGGCACCGCATTATACCAGTGCGTGTTCCACAGGTGTGATGGGGTTCATAATGTCTGATATATAACAGTTTAGGCTGCCTATCCACCCAGCAAAGATTCAGGTAATAGTGAATATATATTTTATTCTCTGTAGATATTGAATCTTCGTTATGTAGAATGTTAAATGTTCCCTTACTTATCTATATAATTATATCACCAAAACATTGCTGAGGGAGTTTTATGCCAGAACAAAATAAAGTAGATGTAACTGAATGATACGAAGTCTGCTAAAGCACTGTGTATTATATATAGTAGTCTTTTTTTTTTTTTTTATAGACTACCTGTTTGAATAAAGTTACTCTTGCATTAACATGGTAAAGCTTATATGAGATTTTAGCGATTGGATTTACATATACCTTTACATTCAACTAATAATGACAAAAACCACAAGCAGACGCTGACATAGAGCTCTTCATACCATGTAATTATGATTGATTTTTGTGTTGTGTCTAGAGGTCTATTTTAAGGGGTTTTTTTCCAGTTACTGAAAATGAAAAATGTTTCTCTATGCGACATATTTCTACATTAGTATTATGGGGTTTTCTTATGTGTTTTAAGAAATATTTTTCTTTTCCACAAGTAAACAAATCGCATTACTATTTTTTTTTCTGCTTTCTGGTCAGGTCTATCACAAGGATCCAGTTTTTGGGATGATGTGCACAGTGTCATTAAAGAGTGTGAATTATTGGAGGGCTCGCAGTACACAGCCTCTGTCCCCGGACTAGTTCTGTACATGCAGAGCACTTCTAGGCTGATATTATCCATGTTGAATTGGATTGGAAGTCCAGGTATTGGTTGGAGGGATTCTGCCGGGGTCCTGAACCCTTCTTCCTTAGTGCAGATGATGCTGGTATCAGAATTGTATGAAGTTCGTTTATTGGCACTGGAATTTGTTCTACGGTGCAAAAAGACTAGCCACGGGGGAGCTACAGACTCACTGCTATGTCCGGCTATAGAGAAAACTCTATTTGAAATGGTGACCAAGGAAAACAATTTAGAGTGCCTGTGTCAGGTAATTATTGGTTTATTTATTTTGTTCAATTATTTATTTGTAACATGTTACACCACTCACAATTCTGGATCCCAGTGGTCAGCCCCTTCCTTTACAGTCTACATATGTTTTTACCATGAAACAAACTGGGTGGGAGCTAACTCCTCTATCTGTATGTATTGGGATTGGGGGAGGAATTGGAAAGCAAAGTGGTCTTAAAAAAAAAAAAAGTCCTGTACCGCAAACTTTATTCATAGATGAGAAGAGTACAGGTGTACCAAACTGTTTTTGGGAGGAATTGGGAACACCAAGAGAACCTGCAACAGAGTAGACCGTAAAAGCGGGTCACCAGTGGGAACAAGAGTGAGAACACCAATGCTTCCAGGCCAATGTTTGAACCACTGCGATGCTGCAGAAAAGAGAAATGATTACAAATCATTGTTCACTTTCTGATAACAGATGCGGGTGCATTTATCAGAGATGTATTTGCAGAACCATATCAAATAAATACATTTATATCACTATTCGTATAGGTAAATAATGTAAGACAAAAATGTTGATGTGTCTTTCTGCACACAGTACACAGAATGGGGGTAATTAACAAAGATTGCTGCATGAAGAGAAATATGTCAAGTGAAACATTTTCATGCCACATTAATAAAAGTAGAGCATGACACTTTGTTCATGTGTCACATAAAATAGAAATATGCTTATACACCATCATCATCTCTCCTCCAGTCTTACATATAACAATTGCTTAGCATAAGATAGATGCTTACAAATAGCTATTAATTACAAGGACTTTCAAAAGTATTCACCCCCCTTGACATTTTTCTTATTTCGTTGCATTACCACCTGGAATTGAAATCAATTTTTGGGGGTTTGTATGATTTGATTTACACAACACTACCACTTTGAAGAGGCAAAATATTTTTGATTGTGATGCAAACAAGAAATAAGAAAATAAAAAACAGAAAACTTGAACGTGCATTACTATTCCCCCCCCCCCCTCCCTAGGTCAATACTTTGTAGAGCCTCTTGGATTGACGTCTGGACTTTGACTAGACCATTCTAAGACATTTAAATGTTTCCCCTTAAACCATGTGAGTGTTGCTTTAGCAGTATGCTTAGGGTCCTTGTCCTGCTGGAAGGTGAACCTCCGTCCCAGTCATAAATCTCTGGCAGAGATTCCCTCAGGAATTTCCCTGTATTTAGCACCATCCGTCATTTCTTCAATTCTGACCAGTTTGCCAGTCCACGCCGATGAAAAGCATCCCCACAGCATGATGCTGCCACCACCATGCTTCGCTATGGGGTGGCATTCTCAGGGTGATGAGAGGTCTTGGGTTTGCACCAGACATAGTGTTTTCCTTGAAGGTGAAAAAGCTCAATTTTAGTCTCATCTGACCAGAGTACCTTCTTCCATATGTTTGAGGAGTCTCCCACATGCTTTTCGGCGAACAGCAAACATGTTTACTTATTTTTGTTCTGTAAGCAATGGCTTTTTTTCTGGCCACTGTTCCATGAAGGCCAGCTCTGGTGAGTGTACGGCTTAAAGTGGTCCTATGGACAGATACTCCAGTCTCCACTGTGGAGCTTTGCAGCTCCCCAAGGGTTATCTTTGGTCTCTTTGATGAATGTCCTCCTTGCCTGGTCTGTGGGTCTTGCTGGTTGGCCCTTTCTTGGCAGGCTTGTTGTGCCATATTCTTTCCTTTTTGTAATAATGGATTTAATGGTGCTCCATGGGATGTCCAAAGTTTTGGATATTTTTTTATAACCCAACCCTGAGCTGTACTTCTCCATAACTTTGTCCGTGGCCTGTTGGGAGAGCTCCTTGGTCTTCATGGTACCGCTTGCTTGGTGGTGCCGCTTTCTCAGTGGTTTCTTATGTAGGGGCTTCATAGCAAAGGGGGTGAATACACATGCACACACCACTTTTCGTTTTTTTATTGTTTTTAAAACAAGTTAATTTCTAGGTTTCATTTCACCATTTTGGACTATTTTGTCTATGTCTATTACATGTAATCCAAATAAAAATCCATTTTAATTCCAGGTGGTAATGCAACAAAAAAGGAAAAATGGTGAGACAAAATAGGAAAAAGGCCTCCTGGTGAGGAGAGGCTTGAATAATAATACATGCAACCAATATTTACCTTGAAAGCTAATTTTGCTTGATTTTCACAAAAACATTTTCCCGATTGCTTGTCAGGTGATGAGAATCCTTTATGAAATGAATGTTGAAAATGTCCTTTTGATGGCAAAACAGAATTTCCAAATGGAACCCAAAGATTTGCTAAGGAGGATTATAAACCTTGTATCTGCTAAAAGCCACAGGTGTGTACTGATCGTTCCGCTGTACTTTTATTTGATGTTTCACTACAGCCATTAGACATACAGTGACAACACATTCTCATCACTAAAGCGAAGCAATGTTCTGTGTGATTTATTTTTTTAAATTCTACAATAATGTAATCCTCCTGATTCATCAACTTAAAGGAGAACTATAGGGTCAGTGCTTTTCCTCATAGTTCTCCCCAGGGTCACGGGAGGACATAAACTAGCATCCTCCCGTCAACCAAAGCTCAGTATACTGCGAGCTACAGCTCACGGTACACTGAGACTGCCGCAGCCGGGACGGATCCCGGCATTACTGTCGAGATTCACCCAGCTGCGTGATTGACAGGTGGCTCTGCCTATCTAGAGGCAGAGCCAGCTGTACCCGCCCTGTCCATTCCGCCAGTCAGCGCTGGAGGATCAAAGTGGGGAGGGGGGAATCCCTGCAAGGAGCCGCGAGTGACAGTCACGGCTCTCTGCAGGGACAGGATCGAGAAGTGAGCGAGCGACGGTATGTGTTCGCTCACTTCCCGATCTATTGAGCCGACGTGTGACAGTTTAATTCTCACATGTTGGCTCGAACTATGAGGCTGAGTGATTTTCACTCACCTCATAGTTCTCCTTTTAAGTTTTGTTTTTTCTAAATACTTGAGAAAGGTTTCATAAATTGAACATTATGTCTAACTTTCTAGGTACAAAAACGACAAATGCTTCTTTGTAAAAGCGGAAGGTATTGATTTGAAATGATGTTCCATCTGTTGCAAATCAAGTTCACCAGACAAGTCTTTTTCATGATTGGTTTAAGTGGTTGCTTAGAGTGCTAATTGTTAACTCTTCATAGTGAAGGGTTGTAAATTTTCATACATCCTCACAGAAGAGGGTAGCACATGATCCATTTTCATTTACAGTCCTTCTGATATCACATTGCTTGTTATGAAATCTTAAAAATGGTTATATTATATATATTTGACTGCCAATATTTTACCAATGGTTGTAGAGATAAATTCGACAAGCAGATTTTTTACTGATTGTTACGTAGATACATTCCACAGGGAGATACCTTACCGATGGTTAAATAGATGCACAGTATTTGACAGGAAGATATTTTACCAATGGTTTAGGATATATATTTGACAGGCAGATATCTTGCCGATGGTTGGGGAGATATAGTCCAGAGGCAGATATCTTGCCGGTTAAGAAGATATAAATTTGACATGCAAATATATTACCAATAGGGGTTGAAGGGATATATTCGACAGGCAGACATCTTAACGATGTTAAGAAGAAATTTGGCAGGCAGATATCTTACTGATGGTTAAAGAGATACATTACACAGGAAGATATTTTACCAATAGTTGAGGAAATATATTTGGTAGGCACTGCAGTTTTAGAACCTAAAGCATTCCGTCCTATCTCCAGATGAAACATTATACTCATTGCAGTGACATTGGTACAGTCCTTACGGGATTTCATATAAACATTTATCTGATTCCGGATATTATTAGACACACTACAACATCTTCCCGAACAAGCGTTCTATACAGTCTGTATGTCAAGCAGCAGTTCCCTGGAATATCACTTTTGGTTGATGAATATTTTTCCCTGGTGTGGGTGTCTATAATCTGTATTTCTGTATAGACACATACTCCAGTTCCTTTTTAAACATTGAGCAATGTGTTCTTGTATTGTTGAAAGCTAGTGGACTACTTGTGTATAAGACCATATGCCCAATTTGCAGACCATTTTACGAGGTGTTTATGCAAGATATTTCACTTTGTATTTTCAGTTAGAATAGAGCATTACTTGTGTGAGGACCTGTTCACACTAGTCTGTCTGCTGGAATGCTGCATTTCATTGGACGGGCTAGTGCATTGTGACAGCTCTGGTAGTGTGCAATGTTTGGTACACCGGCAGATGTCACTGTTTATATGTTTTACATTTTTATGTGGACTGAAGTGCACAATGTGTGCACTCCATTCAGGTTCCCACACAACAGCACCGAGCTCTGTGCTGATGTGTGTGCGACCTGCGGTGGCATACAATGCGCTGCAAGCAAATGCAGCCTGTTTGCATTTTACCGCAGTGCACCACTCACTGCATTGTTGTGTGAATGGGACACAATTGTTTTCTATGTGTCCTAGCAGTGACCTGCGATGATGCGGTCCGGCACCGCACAGGTTACCGCTGTATGTGTGAAGGGGCCTTGTTACCTCACATTGCACAGTATTACCCAAATGAATGAGATAACCTGTACATGAATGGGTCGATCTTTTGGCAACCCATACTGTGAGAAGTTGTGGTACCTTAAAATGCAAAAAGGAGTCTCACCCATATTTAGGGTGTAATCTAAAACATGGTCAGATTGCCACCCACCTCCTGTCCCTGTCATAACTGGGAATTACAACAGGAACCAAAAGAAAAACACATTTTAGAAGGTCCAGGAATGAGTAGAGTTTCTGGCAATGTTTTTTGTTCCTGCCGGTGCTTTTTTTTTAACCTGCTGGCAACCCCCCCCACAATTTGTAGGGACTGGAAGTAAGAGGAAATCTCCCCAATGGGGCCACATAATTAAAAACCTGACACAAATTGTCTACTCTATCCAAAACTAAAAAATAAAATGGATGGAGTTAGGCTTTATGAGATCAGGTTGGATGTTTTCTTTACAATTTAAATTCAGGCTGCTGAAGCCTATTGGAAGATAAACAAACCTGCTCTTATCTCCTCACAATTCAATTTATTAGACAACCCTGGTGGATATAGAGAAATACCAGACAGAGCAGCCAGCTGTAAATGCTCCCCTGGCAGACATTTAGTGCCATTCAGCTTTGCTGCTGTTGTGATTAAAATGGCTAATTGCCTTTGAAAATAGAGAATGGAGTTGTACAGTTCTTCTTCCAGACCTGCTCATGCAAAATTACTAAGAGAACACCTTTTATTATTTAAAGTTGTACAACACAAAATTTTAAAAGTCTATTTTAACGTGAACCCATACTTAAATATTAATATAAAGCTAGCTATGTTAACAGACGTGATGACATGGACACATAAAGCATGAAAACATTTTTGTTTCTTCTGTGCTGTCCTGTAAATGTCATCAGTCCCTTCTTGCAGCTTTGCAACTACCAGTAAATGTTTTTCAGAACCGTTTTCAGAAATGTATAAAGCCTGATGAAAGGATCCCAAAAGGAATCCCAAAAACCATGGTTCTTTAATAACTTGCTAGCCAGTAAAGAGTATCACTTTTACTCCAAACTTTGTGTCACTCCCAGCAAATGTGAGGCAAACAAATATCATTTTCTCTCAAGCTGCATTGCGCACCATGCTCCTCCACTGTGCCGGCTCACTAACCGGCAGTGTACCGGTAGACGAGTTTGCACTCTGGTATTTCCACTTGTTCCCTCAGCTCCCTGGTATCCGTTCAAAACCCTGCTTCTTATGATAGTCCAGTCATTGGGCGCTCACAAAATCTCAGATTTCACAATACTAATGCACCAGGTCAGATTTTGTGATAAGAAAGCAATATGAACCAGAGGGTGTAACGATAAATTGTGGGAACTAGAAAAATCATCAGGGTCTTCATTTAAATGTGTTTGGCTACAGATGCAATTTACTTTTCTTCCGTAATCACTACGTTACTGAGTTACTGAGTCCTGCATGGTTCTAAGGCCATAAATCAGCCGTCAATTGAGGTTTTCATCCCAGATTATTCACAATACTCAGTTCTTCACAGCCCTGTTGATATACAGAACTAGCTTAGATGAGCAGTAAGATAAAAGATTGCCTCTCTATACTTCCTGGGCAGTCTAAAAGCTAGGCAGGCCATATTTACCCTAGAGCGTGCTTGTGCGTGGATGTATGTCCTTTGTGCATACTTACAGTTAAGTCTGGAAATCATTTTTACAATTAAATAAAGAATGCAATCTCGAAGTTGAGGGATAACACATCCATACTGGAAGAAGATTTTAGGAATTACAGCTCTTTATTATGTAGTCCCCTCTTTTTCAAGGGACCAATTGTCTCGAAAGCTGTTTCATGGACAGGGGGTGGGCTATTACTTCATTATTTCATCATCAATTAAACAGGAAAAAAGGTCTGGAGTTGATTCCACGTATGCCATTCGCATTTGAAAGCTGTTGCGGTCAATCCACAACATGCATTCAGAGGAGCTCTCAATGCAAGTGAAACAGGCCATCCTTAGGTTGCATCCATCAGAGAGATAGTGGGAACAGTAGGAGTTGTCAACAGTTTGGTGCATTCTGAGAAAAAAAGAATGTACTGGTAAGCTTTTCAACAGAAAAAGGCCTGGACGTGCATGAAAAACGACAATGGTGCATGATCGTAGGATCACAACATCCAGCCAAGTGAAAAACACTCTCCAGGAGGTAGGCATATCATTATCCAAGTCTACCATAAAAAGAAGACTTCACTAGAGCAAATACAGAGGGTTCACCACCAGGTGCACGCCATTTATAAGCCTCAAGAATAGAAAAACCAGAGTAGACTTTGCTAAAAAAATCTAAAAAAGCCAGCCCAGTTTTGGAACTGCTTTGTTTAGACAGATGAAACTAAGCGCAACCTGTACCAGAATGATGGGAAGAACAAAGTATGGAGAAGGCTTGGAATGGCTCATGTATTGCATGTTCGAACCTTAATACCATAAGTAATAACAGGTTACTTCGGGAGTATATAAGGAGATTGGAAATTTTAGCAAAATTCTTAAATTACTCTTTAACTAAACCCACTAGATTTTAGTCAACTAAAACTAGACTAAAACAATCCAGGAGCAGAGCAGTTACAGACCGGAGCAAAACTGCGTACAATGTATTCCAATGGTATTTTTAGCTCCAGTTCACATCGCAGCGTCCCATTCCAGAGCGGGTAAAAAACACTGCAGCAGGCCCTATTTTACCTGCTCTGGACCGCATGCAAACGCCCTGGAATGCACTGAAAGCCCATTTTAAACTTTAAAAAAATATATTATAATTTTTTTTAACCAAAAATGGCCCGGAAAGCATCAAAAACGCTGCAAAAATGCGGCACAACCCGCTGCACTGCGTGTGCAGAAACTCATGCAGATCTGCTCTGCATTTGGTGTGAACAAGGCCTAAAACAATTCAGATGACTAAAACTAAATGGCATTTTAGTCGAAAGACTATGACTAAACTCAATTGAAATCTGCTGTCAAAATTGACACTGCTTCAAGCAATACTTGCCTGCAAATGATTCACCACAATGTATTAACAATGAACATTTTATTTATGATTGTGTTTGTTTGTCCACTTACATTTGAGTCCCTGAAATAAGGGGACTGTGTATGAAAATGGTTGCAATTCCTAAACGTTTCATATCATATTTTTGTTCAACCCCTTCAATTAAAGATGAAAGTCTGCACTTTAATTGCATCTCGACTGTTTCATGTCAAATCCTTTGTGGTGGCCTTCAGAGCTAGAATTATGAAAATTCTGTCCGTGTCCAATTTTTTCCAGACCTAACTGTATGTGACTGGTGCAGAAATATTTTGTAAGCTCTCCTTGGGCAGGGAGAGATATATAAATGACATTTACTTACCTACACTTTATTTAAAATTATTTGCCAAATGGTTTTAATGTAGGTGTAATCAGTTTGCAGTCACACAGCACTTGGCCCTCACCTGGTAATAGACTCTTTCACACTTACATATCCTGCTGTGACTGTAGCTGAGGCCTTAGATGTGTGTTGTAAGAGTGCTGCCATGCACAGAAAACAGCACACAAATGCTACAGATACACTTTGCATTAATATTTCATTCAGAATAATTCCTTTTTCATGACATTTTGTTTCCAAAGAACAGCAGTTTATAATATTACAATTGTATTGTTATAAAATATACATATATATATATATATATATATACACATTATATATATATAGTGTACATCCAGCTATGGAAATGTTCCTGGTTCACTGAGGATTCCTCATGGATCACCGAACATGCACAGGTTGTATACTGTAGTTTCCAGCAGACTGTAGATGTATTTATGAGGCAGTGTCTGCTTTATTGCCACCGCTGTAAGCACCTGCTGTCATGGCAGCCATCTGTCTGCAGAGCTCTATCAATGGGCAAAGTCATTGGAAGTTACTGCCTTGTGTTCCCAGCACTGTACAACTTCCTTGTTCAAGCAAGGCAATGAGGTGTTAAAGACTTTTAAGGGAATGTAAATGGACTTGAATGTAATTTTTACACTTGCTGGTTGTGAAAAGATCATTGGTAATTCCATTGAAGTCATGTCAACAGAGAGTTATTTGAGCTTTTAAAAGGGGTACTGCAGACCATACAAAGATGTTTCCAAACAATAGAAAAGTACCTTTACTACCATGTTATGAATGTACAGAGCGTTAAGCATGAAGGTGTAATAGGATACAAGATGGATTACACACCAGACAGAATATAGTACTTTTCATAGGACTCCTTGGCTCCCATGCCTCCTTAAATCAATCTTCCATCACACATTTTGGGAAAGCCAATTCATGTTGGATTTCCACTATCATCCATAATAATGTGGGTTGATTACGCAAAAAAAACATACCTATCACTCATTGGAAGGGATGAAAATTGCAGTCATCAAGTCTCAAGGGCTTGTACTGAACTGTATTCTTATGGTTCCACTAGTTACGATGGTTGGATCTCAAGAGAGTAAACAAAAAGTCCTACACTCATTGGCACAGTTACTGTCCTCATTATCTGTATAAACTATTGTAGTGTAGGTAATAGGATGAAAACCAGCTGCCAGCATTGTTTTTTTTGTGTACCCTAACTGTGCTTCTCCAAGGTTTTTGGTACCAAATGTATAGAGCAGTAATCAATTTCCAGATTTTTATCTTGCATACCCCGGAGCAATGATTTAGCTAGGAAGGACAACAACTACTTTCATTATTCTAAGATTATCCACTCTCTGACAATAGACCATTTGATCAAAAACTTTGTACCCTGGGAGACATAGAAAGACTTATTCAGACTTATACAGACTTATTCAGTAACCACGACAGGGGCTTAGGAAGTGAGGGGAATCTCTCCAGTTTGGGGCACAGACAGCATACAGATGAAACCAGTACAGAATTAAACCTTTTTTTAATAGAATAGTATAACCATACAAGTTATGGTAAGATGGGACTAAAGCATTAAAAAAGCCCTCACTCTATTAATTGTGCAGCACAGTAAGGCCTTCTTAAAACAGGAGGTATTCTCATGTCTCGTTCCATCACATATCACATTTTTCCTCATTTCGGGAAAGTGGACGATGCAAAAATTGCATTGACTTGCAGGGCTCTGCCCACTACCCTGAAATAAGGAATAATAGGCTTATTTTTGGGATATATGATGGAACAAGACATGTGTGTATCTCCTGTATATAGAAGGCTTTACAGTGCTACCCGTCTTCATTTGGTGCCGGTAAAGTACATTTTCTGTGCAGGCTCCTGTCTTCAGCGATCTCTGGTGAGGCTTTAGGGAGAAAGACTTGCAGTGTCAGTGCCATCAAAGGCTGTAACATGACCTTCCTTTAGTTTGGTGTAAAGCTTCACCGAAGGATCCTGTGTTTTCCTACAGTTTGCTTATCATCCATGCCCTGAGAAATTAGGAGTGCCCATTGTGTGTTGGGGCACTAACTAAGTGCACTATTTTATTGTCCACCTGTAGAGAGAAATGTTACTACTGCAGCTATTGTATTATCTATGTAGAGAGGTAAACACATTCTGACTTCCCAGTTACATCACTGGAATGTCTTCCTTTCATTTCAATTGCCGCTTTCAAGTCCAGACTGAGCAGGACACATAGGAAACAGACTGCATCTTGCTACATCCAATGGTCTGTTACTTCAAGTAACATTACTTGAAGCCCGTTGATGGTGTGTGACGCTATTCTTTACATTGGCAGCTTTCTTTCTATCCCCTTGTTCTACAGGATATTGACATAATCGTCCTGTGCATACTATGGGTCATATGTAAGCCTTGGCAGAACCAGACAGAAGTAGCTCATTCTACTGTATAGGCATAAAAACAGTGAACCTAATGAATGAGCGACTGATTCCCAGAAAATAACTGTCTCCCCTGTTGATGTATTCAGGTTTTACCACTCATTATTGATTTAGGTGGTCTTCTCAACCTACATCTTAATACATTCACCCTGCTGCAGGTTTCCCATTCCATGGTAACATTCTGGACATATTGCTAGCTGCATGCCAAGATCTGGGGGGACTGCACAGTCTAGCCTGCTGACTAGAGTCAGGAATGTAAACCTTACAGATAATTAATCCAGACCTATTTTATTTGTGGATAATTATATTTTGGCACAGTGTTTTGCATCTCAGATACTAGTATTTCTTCTATAGCATTTGAAGCTGAGCTCTAGGCAAAATGGTAAAGGTTTGCCATAGCCATATTGTGGCTTATCTTAAAGTGTATTTCCACTTTTACAGCCAAATTGGGATAGCACCTATGTTATGTTTGTTACATGTTCCCATTCACATAGCTTAATGTCAATAAAAAAAAATGATACTTCCTCTTTCTGAAAGCTCCATAGTTGATTTTTTTTCCATTCTCTGTAATATCAAGTAGGTGGGGAGATAATGTTTTCCAAAACTAACCCTGTCTGTTTCCCCCCCCCCCCCCATCAGTTTTTTTATGCTGTCTGTGTCCCATTTGGGAGATTTGCCTTCACTTTTTGGAAATTAGAGGAAATCTCTACAAAGTTCGATAAATTCCCCTATTAGAGCACTAAGGAACTAGTGTCCGCACTGGGATATTTTCCCCTCACCTCTGGTTCTGGTAGCAACTGGATATCCTTCCATTTTCTGTGTCTGTGACTATGGTCACCAGGGCAAATAGAGGGGTGATTCTCTCCAGCTGGTACACAGACATCCAAAAATCTGACAGTGCTTCTGAACCTTCCCTCCTCTATCCAAAACTTAAAAAAAAAAATGTTGGCTTCAGACACACTCTAAATAATGGAGATTCTACTAGGGGGAGTCATGTGATATAACAGCACAATTTGATGGTAGATCTGAGAATTCTGACAAACATGTCTTGCCTTTAGAATGATAGAAAGATGCTGGAAGCCAGAATGTGATTCAACTAGCTAGTAACCACACAGAGCTGAAATGTCAGCTTTGGCTCCTGGATAGGAAGCTAGCTATGGTTCTGACAATACTTCAGCCTCTGGAAAATATTGTCACTTTTTTTCCTTTAAATACATCATATTCTTTTCTTTGTATTTTCCAGTGTGGAAATCCAGAGCTCATCGTTAAAACTGTCCTCTCGATTGGTCATCAGTCTTGCTGGGAAGGACCAGGAGGTAAGGCAAAATGTGGAACATTACTGTGCAGCAGGTAGCTCTCTCATCTTTCCATCTGTATGTGCATGTAGTGTATGCCTTGGTTTCTAGCATTGCACAACATAGGTACATGGAACCAGTGCTGTCCAGGGAGCATTGCAGATGTGTTAAAATTAGATGGGTTACTTCATTTTTATGTATTGGAACCATAACACATAGACTTGCCTAGACTGAGCACAGTTCTGTGATTGCGCAACCTCCCAAGGAGGCTATAGAGTATGAAGCTGAAAATTCCTCGCCTGCTCATTTGCTGTCCTGGGAACTCATTTTATTTTTTAATATGTTCCTTAGAAATCTCCTAGGGTAGTGGACATTTTTAGAGGTGTATACAATCCATCCCACAGATCATGTTTTATATGCTGGCCATATAAGCAGAATGTTATAAGGAAGAACAGCTGTAGATTTCACATGCAGCAGATGAATCAAATCAACTAAAACCCTACAAATAAAATAATGGGTTTTTTTTGTCACAGAAAATGTCCACAGTATGTATTTCTAATAAATCATGGTATAGGTTATACATTTTTATTTTTTTTACACCGATGGGCCATTGTGCAAATCTGCTGCATCTTCCGTTATAATTTCCTTAGCATTCTTTAAAGCCCCTGTCCAGGCAATAGCCAAAATAAATGCCCCATTGCCCTCTGCCCCCGCTAAGCGCCCCCCTTTTCTTGTATGCTTTAGTTATCCTTGTCACCCCCAGAGGCTGAAATGACTCTTCAGCTCCCAGGAAGTGGGGTTCACAGCATGGATGTGGGTGGTACATACGCAATGGAACGGCAGAAGAGGCTTAGTTATGAGGTGTGGTGCCTTGGGCAGGCATTGCTTGTATGCACTGCATCAGCTTCCACCCCTAGATTCTGCCTGGTAATTCTATAACTGCAGCAGGGGCAGTGAGGAGACCAGTCACCCTGCTCACAGACTGCAAGCATTGGTAAATGGTCAGTACGACCGGATATCGGAGACATTGATAGCAGCAAAGGGAAACTTTCAACTAAGGTTAAAATGAAGAATGTTTATGTGGCTGGTATATGCTGTAATCTTAAAACAACACAAGGCTAATGTTCCAGAAATCCAACTTTAACTGTAATGGTTGTGCGGACTGTGCCATAGAAGGTAGTTTTAACAGGATATCCCCATAAAAAATGAAAGTGTCCCCATGGCTTACGGTGGCACCCTCTCACCCCTTCCCCGGAGCATCTGGCAGCTGTAAATTACACCAATTCAGATAACGGTAAATTGAGTGAACTTTGTGGTTTTAGCACAGCTGATGTGTCTGCTCGAGAGCATTAGGAGTTCATTAATTGACTTTACTTGTTGCCCAGAATTCCTCTTTACATGACAGTGACACGATCACAGGCATCAGAACACATGATGGACATTTTAGAAAGTGTTTAGAGATAATCTTTTGTGTGTCTGTGTATGCTTTCATGGACTTTTTCCCCTGCAGTTCTTCCTCAAGTCTGTTCATAAATGTTTCACTGAATCATTTGATTTACTTGTAATTATGATTTCAGTGAAGCTGGCCTCCTGGAAGTTCATACAAGTAAATGTGATGTGCGTCATTCTCTCAATTATTTTCTTATTTGTGTCACTGATTCAACATTTCTGCATTGGTTTAGACACGTGAAGTGTAGCTCCGTCTTAGTAATGTATTTGTAGCCAGCTGAGGGTTTCATTGTGCTCTTCAATGTCAGTTGACTGCCACAATGAGAAGAATCTTGTACATTTAAGTCTATATGGAGTGTGAGCAAGTGTGTGCCATAACTGTTGCACGTTATAATACAAGACGTTAGCTGTTTATTATTAGGGATGCACCGATATATCGGCCGCCGAAACTGTCACTTTTGGCTAAATGCCGAAAGTGCCATTTTTGTGCCGATACATCGGCACATTCCTTCTTTCTTTCCTCCCCGCTGGGCGCTGCTCTGTGTCCCAGCGGGGAGGAGAGAAAGTGTGACAGCCGGCCGAGCGCTTCGGGAGGAGAGCGATGTGAGCGGCCGGCGTCTCTCCTCCCACACCGCTCAGCCTCCTATCACAGTCCGGCAGATCGGTGTGGGGGCGGAGACAGCCAGTGCTGTCACAGGAGGCTCAGCTCTGCTCCCTGCACCACTCGCTCAGCCTCCCTGACAGCTGTCACAGAAGGAGAGCGAGGTACAAGCAGTCAGTGATCGCTGAGTGTTTGTACATAATTGAGGACAGAGCATATTGACTATATCCTCAATTATGAATGAATGGGAAGTGATCTACATAATCTCCTGTTCATTCATAATTGTGGTTATAGTAAACACACTATGTTCTCAAGTTATGAATGAACAGGAACATTCATAGAGGATTCCTGTTCATTGATAACTGGGGCTGCAGGAAAAGAGATTGAGGACTTTGTGCCCTCAATCTCTTTTTCAATTTTAAAAGGGAAATATCAGGGATCCGTTTAGACTCCTAATATTTCCCCTGAGGCCCCTAAAAGTAAAGTAAAAAATAAAAATAAATAAAGATAAAAAAATGTAAAGTTTATAAAAAATAAAATATTTGAAAAAATTTAAATAAAAAATATTTTCGTTTTTGGTTTCGGCCTGACAATTTTTTTTAATTGCGGTTTCATTTTGGTTTTGAAATTTCCATTTCGGTGCACCTCCTATTTATTATTATTTCTTTTTTTAAGTTGTGATATTTTAGTCTTGAGGGTCTTGTTGGCATTAAGGCTAAGAATACATGTAAGGACTGAAGCAGAATTTTTTTAATTAACCCTTGCAGTGGGGCTACCCCTGCACTGCAAGGGTTAAGTGCTGATTATGGTCTAGAGAAGAAAAAACAAAGTTATATTTACCTGATCCTTGGCCGGCTGTGAGATCGCTCCCTCCAGCCTTTCTTCTCCTCCTGCAGAGATGGAATGTCCCTTGGCGTCCTCATGTCCTTTACGCTACGTATAGAACACTAAACTACTCCATCCATCCCACTGTTTTCATCTCTAAAGCACAGTCACTATCTGACTTGTAGTACCAAGATAAGAGCTGCATAGATTCCATGAGATAACACAGGAAGTGTACAGAGGACAAGGGGCAACTTTGAATCTCTGACAAAATCAACAGCTTTTTCTATTTTTTTTTTTCTTATTGTCTGACAGCAAATTGACCTATGCTTGTAGGGATCTTTTTCCCCTTCCTCTGGATCAAACACATAGAACACGCATGCACACAAGGGTTGCCACCTGTCCCGGATTCAATTGGACAGTCTGGGTTTTGAGTCCTGTATGTGCTGTGTCTGGGTTTCAGCTGGCCTTAAACCCGGAAACAGCACAGACAGCACTCAAAACCCGACTGTCCAGGTGAATCCGGGACAGGTGGCAACCCTAACACACGCACGTTGAACTTAATGGGCCTATGTATGTTTTCAACCTTATCTACCATGTAACTATTGGGGTTACAGAGTGCATCCCATGCCATATACTGTATAAAGTCTTAGCTTTTGGGTTGACATGCACTTCAAAATCTGCAACCTTCTTGAACCCAACACCCATTTATTCTCATTTTAATGGGATACAGGCGTTGAAAAATGAATTTCATGAAAAATAGCTTTTTTAAGTGTTTCTTTTGTTTCACGAACCTCCGAAACATTATATGTTGACACAGATATAAGATTTATGAGGCTGACTCACTATTGCAGGCCTCATCTCGATCATCTGACGTTGATCTTTCTTCCACAGGCCACTGAGTCAGAGATGAAGGATTGGGTGACGCTCATGGTTCACTGCTGTGGGGATGAACTCCAGACTGAAGTGAAACTGGCAGCAGCTGAGATCCTGGTTTATATTGCTCCACATTTGTTGACCAGTCAGCTGCCTCTTCTGGGTAAGAGTACAATGTGTGTTGATGGTACAGTTCTTTGTGGAGACCTGCTGCATGACCTGTAATGGAATGTACAGCCGCTTATGTCGTCTGTTTTGCCTTCCCTTGAAGGTCATCATCATTAAAATTTACTAGAAGCTTGAAGTCCATTTATGTGTTGACATGCCAGAAATGGTACATCCTTTCCTGCACACAAGTGAAAAAATTGCCATTTTGTCTGTTAAAGGGGATTTCCAACATGAAGCAGGTTCTAAAACAGTGCAACAGTGTCACAAGGCCCACTTGTCCATTTGCTTAGCACAGCATATATCAGGGAAGTTAAATTTTACTGATGAAAACAGTTCTTCCGCGTGTGGTAATTAGCTTCCCCCATTCATTATTCCAAGGCATGTTGGAAACATTAAAAACGGATGATGTCTCTCTAGTGGTAACACAAACATCTTCTTGCAGACACTTTCCTATTCTGGATGTTTGTTTAATGGACCAATGAAGCCCAATTAAAAAGTTACTGTGCGGGAAATAGAACATATAGTACTAGACTAAAGGAGAGCAATGACAGCAGTATTTACCTGGAGGGTTATGGCAGGAAGTCCATTGTGTAAAGGAAAATACCACTCCTTACTGTAATACCTTCATTTTAGATTTCATTTTGATAATACACAATTTTATTAGGGGTATTATGAGTCTCTCGGGTTCAAAATACTGCAAGGGACATCTATCGAGTCATCTAGGAACACAATTAGATGCAAATTGAGCCACTTCGTATTTAGCAAAGCCTATTCCACAGTTTTGTTTTTATATTTGCGACCCCCAACTTTCTGGGCATCCAACTAAAATTTGTAAAAGTCTGAAACACATTTAGCACTGAAGATGAGACAGGATTTCACTCAAAGCAAACGCACAGTTTAAAACTGATCAGGGTCAGGTTTGAGTGTCCATTCACACTGGGCGTTTAATCGCACGATTTCCACCGTGATATCGCGCATATTTGCAGCGAGAAGTCACCGTCCAATGATTTTCAATGGAGCTGTTCTATAAAACAGCTCCATGCCGCTCGACGCGGTCGTGTGTCGCTTGTGTGGGACCATTTTTCCACGCGGATGTCGCACAATTTTTCTATTTTTGCATGCAGCCGGCGGTGAAGGTTGTGCGATCGTCGCTGGACCGTCTCCCCGAACAGTCGCGCTATCCCGGCTGCGCGGATCCGCTCAAGGTAAGTGTCGCTTAGTGTGAATGGGGCCTTATATTGGTGCAGTGCTACTTTGGAGCAGCAGAGGGAGGGATTCGTGAATCAAGCTACAACCTTTTAGTAAATCTGTCTCATTGCTTCTGTTTAGCATTGCCTTGTTTGGGACAGAATTGCTGAATATTCCTCTGTTTTTATATATACAGTGGGGACATTTTATTAAAACAATATTTTTTCCCCTCAGGTTCTTAATCTGTTGCTTGTTTCATTTAGCGACAGATTTTATTTATGCAAATATTGGGTAATTAATAAATATTCCCCTGTGTGTGTGTACATATACAGTGGGGGCATTTTATTAAAACTGTTTGTTGCAGTTTTTAGTCTGTTGCTTGTTTCATTTTAAAAGCAATTTAGGGACATATTTATTTTTATACGCATTTTGAGTAATCAATTAGCTGCAATGAAAATGAACTCATCTGTGCGTATTTAAACAGTGCTCCTAAGCACTTCTAAGTTCTGCAAAAATTATCTGGTTGGATTTCATTCATAAATAAGCGCTCACAGTTGCTACACAATATAGAAAAGAGACAGACAATCGCTATTTGGCAGCAGTGATAAATGCTAACATATCTGCGTGCAAAATGCATGTGCAATGACATTAATAAATGTTCCCTGGTATATGTACATATAAGTGTGTCTTTTTCTTTTATATATATCTATATATCTATATAGATCTATATATAGATATATGT